GGTGGGTGTGTGTGTATACTTGTGTGTGTGTGTAAGGAGTGGGGGGCTGGAAGGACGTGTGTGTATGTGTGGAGAGCGACTTTTTTGTAGTGTGTCAGTAGATGTTTGAGTGTGTATTTGTGGGTGTGTAGATGTATATTGGGAGGAAAGGGGGGAGGGGGGGAGTGTGTCCGGGGATGCATGGATGTTTGTGCGTTTGTTTGTTTGTTTGCCTATTTCTTATCATTTTCGTTGTTCTCTTGTTTCCTGGAATATGAAGGTGTCTTTTTGACGATATGGGTAAAAAAGGTAAGGGGGTGCTTTATGAAATCAATTTCATTGTCACAGTCTTGTAAAATTATATCCCAAAACCAACGAATGTCAAATCTCACCACAATGCCACACACAAATAATATCATTATCTCTCTCCACTCCCACCCCCTCCCCCTACCACTACCCCATCCCTCTCAGTACGAAGCAGCATTAGCCGCCGATTCTGTCCGCCTATTCACGAGAGCTTTCGGTTCTCTGCTGCACAAGAACCCTGGTTTCTTGAGGCGGAGCCGGCTGGCAGGGATCGGGAAGTCCCTCAAATGTACCGATGACTCAGAGGTGCGCACGGGCTACGGCGAGGAGATTCTGCAGGAGATGAAGAGGGTCAGTTGAGTTGTTTGTTGGTTTGTTTGTTTGTTTGGTTGGTTGGTAGTTGGTTTTTGTTTGTTGTTTTTGTTAGTTTTGTTGTTGTTATAGTTGTTGTTGTTGTTGTTGTTGTTGTCGTTGTCGTCGCTGTTGCTGTTGAAGTTGTCGTTGTCGTTGTTGTTGTAGTTGTTGCTGTTGTTTACCCTTTCACATGAACGCCTGTATCGTGCACCAAATTGTTATGGAGGGTGCGGTCATAAGGGTGCAATGTCTAGTTTGATAGTGTTAACAATAATGACGATGTTGATAACGAAATGTTGATAACGAAACGATCGGAGAGATAGAGAGGAAGAGAGAGAGAGGGGAGAGACAAAGAGAGAGAAAGAATGAGTGAGAGAGGGAGAGAGAGAGGAGAGAGAGAGGGGGGGAGAGAGAAAGAGAGAGAGAGTCAGAGAAAGAAAGAGAGTGAGCAAGAGAGAGACACACACAACGAGAGAGAGAGAGAGAGAGAGAGAGAGAGTCAGAGAGAGAGAGAGAGACAGACAGACAGACAGAAACTGAGTGACAGAAAGAGAGACCACAAAAGTTGACGTCACAGCTGTTTCCTCCTGTGATGTCTGTGCTGATTAATTAAGTCACGTCATTATCGATATTGTATTCCCAGTTCTGTTGTCTTCCAACCAGAACACCACTGACATAATGTCTGCACCGCGGGCTTGGTGTTCACGCCTCTTGCTGCTATTTTCTGTCTCCACAGGTCAGATTTGACGGCATAACTGGACATGTGGAGTTTGATGAGTACGGACAGAGGAAAGATTTCACTCTAGACATTTACAATGTGGCGATGGCTCGTCGGGCGGCGAAGGTAAATAAGGAAATGTCCATGGTACCCGCGTCAGAAGAATACAGATGAAGGCACTCTCCAAAGACTTCATCTCTACACGAAATACATGTCCATGACCGTGCATTTCATACGCTCATTGGATAAACGCTAACATAAGCAAAATGTAATATTATCACAACACGATCGATAAATTGATAAAGATTAGCACTTTAAGAACATAAGGGTATTATGAATAAGAACTTGGTACAAAGATGGCGTTTCATTACGGGTGTGTTTGGGTATCACCTTTGGAAAATTGAATTGTCTTATAAAGCAGAGTTAAAGGGGAGGTAAGAAGGTTATCTCTTGTTCGTAAATCCCGGAGATAATCAATCATATGAAACAATAATTTACATTTTTATAGATCCCAGTGGTGCAATTTCGTGTATATTGGCAAACATACATCCATACACGAATACATAATTATAAATACATACATACGTAAATACATACACATATCGTACACATACATAAATGCACAATTACACTCAGGCATAAAAATGTCACAACCATGCTATTGCTTGTCGCTACTGTGCAGCGCCCTGGGGTTGTTTTTTTTAAGCTTGGGTTGTCGTGTCTTGCTCAAGGACACACCCCAGTGACCACCCATCTGATCCCCCTGACACTTGCTTGACTTGACTCTTGAGTCTAAATTAACTACTCACTTAGCTACTTGACCCCCGCCCCTCCAACCAAGGAGAGGATGATTACAATAATGAAAAGGTTAAACAATCTCTCGAAGTAAACAGACTACATGTACTATACTCACACTGTTGCGCTCTCCAAAATCCCTTAACCCATCAGCATTACTGCCAGTATTTCAATTCTCATTTGGTGTAGCCATGAGTTATGTGCGACCTTCTTTTTTTTTACTATAGGTTTTCTGGAATCTTTTCTTAACTTCCTGATATGACGAACTAACCAAGAAAAGACGGTGTATGTCTTGGAAAGTTTGGGGGGGGGGGGTGCCCAGAAAAGAAAAGAACCTGTTATCTTTATGTTTTTAGTAAGCGTTTTGTGGCACTTGAAACACAATTAAGTCATAATCATAAGTACCAAAGATAATTAGAGGTGTTACAAGAGAGTACCGTAACAAACATAAAAAGAAGGAGGAGAGGTAGAGACGACAGTCGTTTGATAGGAAAGAAGAAGCAAACCACACCAGGACACCTGTCAACACACATAGAAAGATTCTAAGAATAAATGAGAACTTCTCCCTACACGTGAGGTGTACGCCTGTGTGTTAGGTTTGGTGCACAACACGCTACCTTATTATACTCAAAAATAATAATACGTGTCACGACGCGGTAGGTGCTCTTCATTTTCGGGGTATATAAAGTTATTGATAGCACCTTTTTTGTCTTGCTTTTGATAAAAAAAATATCCATTTATCTTGGATACAAGTCAAGATATTGGTGATTGAAGGAGGTGGAGGTCGCCTGGTTTCAGAGTTGAAATTATTGAGAAAATGGCCGCCAAAGTTGAGTTATTTCCTTAGCTTAAAAGTCCTTGGAAACTGAATATCTACACTTATTTATGCCTTTAATCAACGTTTTTCAGTACAATCAACACAGAAATGTGTTATTTAAAGGGCATGAAAGGTGTTGAGTCAAAATACAAAAATTCTATAAAAATTCTTCAAACCTGCGGAATAGAGCCAGTTTCTTGACTTTCATTATTTTGACGAGATCAAAGAAATCTGTTTCTGTCCGTTGGCAATTTTTATTGAATTTTTGTTTTTTGACTTTACGCTCCATTTAAAAATACACTTCTGTGAGGATTTTACTGAAATATGGTGATTTAAGGCACACATTAGTAAACGTGAAGTTTGTAATGACTCTCAAGCTTTGGAACTCACCAAACTTTGGCAGCCATTTCCTCGCTAATTTTACCTCTGAAACCAGACGACCCCCACCTCGTTCAATTGGAAATATCTCAACTTCTATTCATGATAGATGAGCATTCTTTTCAACGAAAGCAAGACAGATGAAAAAGCTTTAAAGCTATATCAGTAACCCCACCTGTCCCTAAAATAACGAGCGTTTGATTCCACCTCGTCGTGACACAAGAATATGTGAGGCAGCGTGGTGGAATCAGGCTCTCGTCAAAATAATCAAAGTGAAGAAATTTGCATTTTTCCGCAGGTTTGTGAATTTTTATCATTTTTTTTTTTTTTGGCTAAACACCTTTCATGCCCAGAACTGATTTCTGGGTGGATTTTCTTTAAAACGTTTATTAAAGGTACAAAAATTGCACATTTTCAGCTAGCACGGACTCTTAAGCTAAGGAAATAACTAATCTTTTGCGGCCATTTTCTCACTAATTTTACCTCTGAAAACAGGTGACCCCCACCTCCTTCATTCGCAAATATCTCGACTTGTATTCACGATAAATGGATACTTTTTTCATCCAAATAAACACAAGTAACCACGCTTGAAGCTGATAGCAATAATTCTTCATGCCCAAAAATTGACGAGAGCCTGATTCCACCACGCTGCCTCACATATTATGTGAGGCGCGCTGACAAAACACGTTACGTCTCCGATTTCAGCCTGATGGAAATGTATACGTCAAATTTATAAGTTGGGTCTTTACATACAATCTATTAGTATGAAATGATAAAAGACATGATTAGCTTGAAGAGAATGGCATTGGTTTAGAATCTATAAATATAACCTTTGGGTCGACTTTCAGCTGATATCTCCATTAATGGATTGCAAGAAGTAACTCATTTTGTCAGCACACCTCAGAAATTGTCTGTTGCCTTTCCCATCTCTCCCTTCTCCGACGTGGCCCCATCAAGAATTAACTTACGTCAAAATATTTTCCCACTCGTGAGACATTTTTTGGATTATTTGTTTTTGCTTTGTTTTGTTTGGTTTTTAATTTTGGCTCAGTAACTTTTATATCCGTTTTAAAACGTATAATTTATGTGATGATATTTCTAGGAAACGAGTATAAATGGCACAACAAAATGTGTACGTTTGCAGATTCAAAGGACACTCAAGCTTTGAAAGTCACCAAATTTTGGCGGCCATTTTCTTGCTAATTTTACATCAGACACCAGGAGACCTCCACCGTACCTAATTCAAAAGCAAATATCTCGCGTTCCAAGATGTATGAGTATTTTTTTTTTCTTTTCATCTTTCCGTCTAAAGCACACACAAAAAAGAAACATTTAAAATAAGACACCAACAACTTCATACGGCCACAAATTGACAAGCGGCTGATTCCACCGTGTCGTTACAAACAACCATTATCACCTTCCCTGCAGCAGGTAGCGCGATCCCTCAATTTTGAAACCAAACTCATGAACAGCATAACAAGGAAGTGGGTGGATGGTGGGTGCTCTGGTGCGGTTTGCTTTCTCCATCCTTCCTATCAAACATTAACCATTCTCATCTATCCTCCTTCTTTTATATTTATTCAACTCATCAGTAACACATCTACTTCTCGGTATTATAATAGTGTGATTTATGTGTGTTACGAGTGTCGTAAAGTAGTTACTAAAAATAAAATAAACTAAAGTGAAGGCCGCCTCTAATTATTTTGACTTTGGGGGTAGTATACAGAATGACGACTTGGTTGAAAGACTGTTATTCTCTTTATTGAAACGTAGGATTCTACAGATCGCACGAATGTCTGTGGACGACTAAATCCAGAGACCACAAAAATGTAGCAAGAGCTTGTATCACTTTGCAAACAATTTAATCAGGATGCAACTAAAAACAATCGTGATTTAGCACCCAAAAAAAAAAACCCAACTTAACAACAAGAGTGTGTCTGAACATATTTCCGTACCCCAGTCCTTTGTCCAAATGACTCTTATATTACTCGGAAATCGAAACAAATTGTAGATCTAACATAATCTGGTCTGATTGTATTCGACACTGGAGGCGATTACACCAAGTTAACCTGTGACAAAGAAATATAGTAAAATACTCATCGTTGTTCCCCGGTCGCTGTTTCCCGATAAAATGACGTCAGCAGTCACTGTTCCCCGGCGCAGCCTTATCGTATCTCAGTCTTTCTTCGGGAATGTATTATCCCTCTCATCTCGGTTGGCCCTGACAGACAAAGTCGGAAGCCTGCCTCCTAAAATATCTTGTTCGTTAGGTTTAGAAAGGTTTTACAGCGCTCGTAACTGCATAAGCTAAAGTATCTGAATTGTGTTTACGGGGCGTCAAAACAAACTACATAAATGTCAGGCAGCGTGGTGGAACCAGGCTCTCGTCAAAATAATCTGACCATCAATGATTTATTTATAGAGACATCAGCCATCCATGTTCAAATAATCAAAATGAAGAAACTTGCATTTTTCCGCAGGTTTGTGAATTTTTATCAAATTTTTGTTTTTTGGCTCAACACCTTTCCTGGCCATTAAAGAACTCATTTCTGTGTGGATTTTTCTGAAAAACGTAGATTAAAGGCACAAAAAATGTAAATTTTCAGTTACCACGGACATTTAAGCTAAGAAAATAACTAATCTTTGGCAGCCATTTTCTCACTAATTTTACCTCTGAAAACAGGTGACCCTCACCTCCTTCTTTCGCAAATATTTCGACTTGTATTCACGATAAATGGATATTTTTTTCATCCAAATAAAGTCAATTGAACAAGCTTTAAGATAATGCCAATAACTCTACATGCCAAAAAATTGACGAGAGCCTGATTCCCCCATGCTGCCTCACAAATAAACAAGTTAAACGCCGGACCGGCGAAGTGGATGTTTGGTGGGTGCTGAAGTGGTCAGCACCTTCTATTTCGCTCGAGAGTTTCCCTTATCCTAATCTGTTTTGGAAATTGGGAAATTCGTGTAAAGTGCCTTCCCCAAGGACACAATATGAGACCAAGATGAGCATCGAGCGAACCAACAATCTCACGATTACGAGTCCGGTTCCCTGTCTCATTAGAATAATGTAGAAAATAGTGCGAAAATGGTCGCGTGTATGGCTTGGACAAACGCGAGACTTGTGTTTTGTCCTTCCATAGGACGTCCATTGTGGGCACCCACCAGTACAGCCACGTTTTTCTTTGAGAGCAAAAAGCAGCGGTCATGACATTGCCCAGTCCAGTAGAACGTGATTTAATGTCTATGCATATATAATACAATGGGTCGCTTTTAAGGACAAGCAGGCTAACCTATATTTCGGGGGGTTCCAGAAATCTTGACCTACCCCAAACGTGGCTATTGCCCTACCTATAGGAGAAGTTTGGTTTCATTGGTGCATATATATGTTTGGTTGTAGAAAAAACTCTCCTAGTCTTGTTAAGAAACTGAACAAGGGGCAAAAACTTTACCTTCGATTTTCTCAAAACAGCATTTTTCGGGATATGTCCTTTGTGCTTAAAAGCGACCAATTCTCTTATGTCCACTTACATCATATTTTACCACCCCGCTCCTCCTTTTCCATCACATACCCTGGGTTCTGGAGAGGAAATAGTGCCGATCATGACAGTGCCTAGTCTAGTATAACATATTTCCAGTCTATGCATAATACACTTTTCTGACTTCCACTTCCATCATGTATTTGACATCCCACCCCCGTAGTCGGGATGTGGAGTCACCGAGAAAATCATGACAGTGCCCGCAAGTACCCGACCTCAGTGCTTTCTTGTCATATCTCCATTTTTTAAACAGCGAAAATGTGACTTCTTCTTAAGCTTACTCTTTAGAAAGAACTGTTTTCACTGTTATTAAAAATGGAGATACGACAAGAAAGCACTGCGGTCGCGAGTACGCATATTATTGTGTAATTAACGTCTCTGACTTCCACTAATGTCATGTCTTTGACCACCACGCCCCCCCCTTTCGCCCCACCTCTCCCCCAGGTCGGGTTTTGGAGTCAGCGAGAGGGGCGTGTCCACATGCAGCCGCCCAGACTGGTCCCCAACCCCGAGGAGACGAACGAGAACAGGACCCGCATTGTGGTCACCATCATTGTGAGTGGTTTATTACTGTGACACGTACACTCAACTACTGTGACACTCAACTACTGTGACACATACACTCAACTACTGTGCCACTCAACTACTGTGACACATACACTCAACTACTGTAACACTCAACTACTGTGACATATACATTCAACTATTGTGACACTCAACTACTGTGACACATACACTCAACTATTGTGACACTCAACTACTGTGACACATACACTCAACTATTGTGACACGTACACTCAACTACTGTGACACTCAACTACTGTGACACGTACACTGTGACAGGTACACTCAACTACTGT